CACTCTGTGCAGGCAGCCGAAGCAATAAAGTCTGCCTTAGGAAGGCAGCTCTTTGTGCCGAATGCAACTCGAAAGAATTCATTATTCAACGCCATGAAGTACGTGAACAAAGTACCGAAAGGGAGGAAGGACGCAATATTTCATGCACTTTCGTTGCCACGATTGCTGCATGGGGAATCTCTGTTCATACATGAATACTGCAAGGTATGTTTCGATTATTTGTTTAACATTATGCAGTGCATTGACTATATCTTTTATTTTTCCAGGCGATGTACACTGTGGAAAAGGTGTTAGATATCCTACAAGGGGAGCAATATATGTACAGTACGGTCCACTGTTAGGGAGAACACGCCAACGCGTGGCCACAGCCCGCGTGGCGCAAACTGGTGGCGAGATTTGTAAACGTGGCGCACGCGCATAAAAGCGCGAAGGCTATGCTTGTCAGATTTTGTCTGCTATGTTCTGCCACTGCGCTTGCCGAGCGCTTTCTTTTTCCGCAGAGTGATTCATGCTGCCACTGGTCTGCCAGCGCCCTGTCAGATGGTCAGCAGGCACAAAAAAAGTTTAGCTTGCTTCTTGTGTGGTATCTCGCCAGTTTTGAAACGATGTGATTCACAACCACAGCGGTAGAATTTCGATTAAAGGCGATATACAATGAATAGCATTACGAATAAATTTAAAGGAATGTTAATAAACACTTAATATTAATAAATATTGGAATTTAACATCACAGAACAGCGGTACGATTATGAGTGATGCAGTGGAAGGCTCCAGAAATTTCAGCCTCCTGGGGTTACAATCAAAGTGCTAGGGCCTCAAATATTTTCACCTTCATCGATAATGCGGCTGCCGCGGCCAGGATTTGATCCCGTGACCTCGGTCCAGCTGTTCAGTACCACAACCCCTATACCATCATGGCGAGTTAAGAAAACACTTGAGGATCAAGTCTCTTCAAAGGATTGCTTCAAAGGACTCCAAAGGACTGCTTCAAAGGACTGCTTCAGGCGTCCAGCCACCAGAACCTAGACCGACGCAGCGCCGTAATGTACCCTGGTAGAACTATCTAGGGATCTTACGTTGGCGTGGGTACAAGAACGCAACCTTGCATAATATGGCGAAAGTTTTTCGGTTTACCAGCACACGTGATACCTTGCCACCGTGTGCATTAGTCTGCATTTTGTTCCGGCCTTCGCTTGTGAAAACGTCGCCTAGCTGTGAAGTCAAGTGCCTATGCGGGCACTCGTAGTACAACCATGGATATAAAATTGGGAGAGATTTTAGTTTTTTGCAGCGCTTAAAAATGTGCTTCTTCGTTTCAAGTGACCATGAATATTTTGTAAAGAAATCAAGCAAGTCAGTCGACGTGGCCAACGCGCATCTTTCATTGGCAGCGGCGAAGTTGAAACTTGAATTTGCTAACAGGACTTGCACTTCAAGTGTAATTCCACAGATCGTCAATTTATTGCGGGCTTGTTGGGCTGTTAAACATATATTACTGGGAAGTTTGAAGGTCACGGTCGTCTTACACACAAGCAAGATAAATGGAGTGATAGTGTAAATTACCGGCTATAAGTTAATCGTTCTATTACTCTAAGATAGCTATGCGAATAACTTGCAACACTAACCTTACTAGCGTAATTAGCGGTATCGATGCTACATTCCGCCGTCGGCGAGCTTGTAGGTCGCTCCGAGCAAACGGCTGAGTTATCGTCCTGAGCACCCTACGCCTATTTCACCGAGCAAGTCAAGCCCCGTTCGTCAATTTTCGGCATTTGGGAACTCTGGACAAGGACAGAAGACAAGCACACGAAGACAAGAGCTCGTTTCGTAGCTTTAAGCACCCGCTACAGTGTGTCTAAATCTCTAAATATCCGTGTGCCCATCATGTCTTGTCAGCTGTCTCGGCATGCTTTGGCGGAGGTTTCTGACCGCAACCGCTTTCTCGACGTTGTGCTGCATGCAGCGAGGCAAGTTGAGACAGGAAGATCTGATGGTATATGGGGTTGTGGAGACACATCTTCCGGACATGGAGCAACCACCTTGCGATCTGGACTACGTATGATTGCAATAGAACAGAAGGCAGCAAAAACAGGGGTCTTGGCGAGAAAGTCTCGACCCAGAATCAGAGACACTAGAGAGTTTTAGTGCTGGGCACCCAAGTGGCGTGCGCATCCAGGACGTTGGGGTGGCGGTATTGCACTTGCGCGAAACCCCAAGCAGATGCGTCGCAAGATCGCTGGGGCACTGAGCCATGCGTCCGCGTGGTCATAAACAATGCTGCCACCACTGGCCTCAGCGGAGATGAGCTGCCCTGGCGCACACGCTGGCGCATCATGTAACCTGTGATGCCATTCACCTTCACGGTGAGGCAAGCCGAGGTTGGCCAGAGCCACCAGCTTGACGCATATTATAGCACAAAGGCGCCAAATCTCGGACAGCATGGATAGGCCGCCTTCTATGATAAAGCATCCGGCGAAGCAGCGCCGAACAAGGTGTTACTTCACGCCCGAGGTGGACATTTCACTGTTACGTGAGGTACTCGCGGTGGATCAATAGTGATTAAATTGTTTCAGCCAGATTACCAAAGCTGGAATGGCCTAAAACATAGAAACCAAAAACGTGCGAGCCCCCAACAAGCTGAATAGTTGGCGCCATCTAGCGTGACTAGAGTGAACCAGGCAATAACAAAACTGTTATTGCAGAAACATTGTGCATTGTACGTCTCGTGCAAAAACTGCGCAGTGGCGTTATTACCATTGAGTTACCTTTTTAATCATTTTCACCTCGAAAACATTACGTGTAAGCCAATGTATTCATGAATGTGGTTGGAGGGAGTGTCACAAGGTGTCGACACCATCGTTACAGTAACCTTATATTTTTTACCTTTTTGGTGGTAGTGGTGGTGATTAGAAGAAGGAAAAGACGCCTAATTTTTGCAACCCGTTAGGGAGCACGGCGCAGCGCCGAATAGGTGGCGCCTATAGTATAGTGTACTTAAGGTCCCTAGATGAAACAAGTTTCCAAGGTATACCGACACCTTTCCCTTTCCTCTTCGCCTATGTTCCTGAAGCGCCCCCAAGAAGGTTTAAAACTTTCATCCAAAAGCGAATGTTTGGGTTCTGTTGCTACGGTGAATAGATGTAAATGAAACAAAATGGAACGAAATAAGACGTAGAATAAACAGTTACCTTTATGAACATAAACGGCACAACACAAGAGCAAGCGGGATGTGCGTTACTCAACCGGCAACGTTGTGCAGTTCGATACTTTACACCACTAGCTATGGCGTCTCGCGTAGTACATTTTAGTTCCACGGCCGCAGTATTTCGTCCAGTTCTAACTAGTCCACTTCTCCGATTGTGTTTTGTTCGTGCTGTGACACAGTGAACGTGCTTCTTGCTGGATCCTGTTAAGTGGCCACAGGGCGTGACATTGTGACGATTGATTACAACCGGCTCCTGCACACGCAAGAAAAAAAACTACGACCAGACTGGTACGAACACTCGTCCAGCAGCACTGCGATGACGTTTTTTTTTTTAAATGTGCCCATTTGGACAATCGTGATGCCAAGTGATTCTGATGCGGTGCTGGGAACTTCCTGAAAAGTGAGAGTTCTACTGGTGAGGTGTCCCGAAGCAGCGCGTTTCGGCTCAAGCGGGAACTGGTCAAGAGTGAAATGTTTCTGAAGGTGCGTTGATTACAACCTACAGCTGCTCTGTATACGTGCATACCCACATGTATTTGTACCAAGTGGCATGCACTAGACACCCATTAGACGCGCGCCTGGCGTTTCAATAAAAACCGACAAGTGAACTCGCTTCGCAGATCCGCGTCGACATACGTTGACGGAGTTGCACGAAAGCATTCGCCTGAAATGGTTCATAGTTGCACTTCATGATGCGCTTCATCTCGGAAAGCACGAGGTAAGTTGAAGAGAGCGAAACCATTTTCTGTTGTTTACGGCAACGCAGCATTGCTGAAAAACGCAGATGTTGCATTGAACGAGCATGGCGAAACAATCTTGGTCGACTTAGCGCACACCGAAACGCTCCTCCTCTTCAGTTTATGTTCTGGCTACGATTTTGTCTTTGGTCACGACGAGAATCCGGCTGGAGCCATATGCGCATGCGTACTCGTTTTGAACCTTTTGCATAATAATAAATAACACCACCAGCCATTTGCAAGATCACGTGCAAGTAATGCACCAATTACAGACGCGGATGGCAGAGAAAAAGAGGAGTAATCGAGAGAGTGAGAAGGACGGCTCGAGAACAATAAGTGACGCTACCTTGTTTCATCTAGGGACCTTACCCGATCTAAATAGTGCAGCCATATCAATCCATCCATCCATGCATATAACGATTTCCGGTGCCGCCGCACTCGGTAGTGCACATGTATTTATAAAGTATGCAGTCGTATGCAAGCAGCGAATTTCAAGCGGCATGTTTCTTACTACGTCATTAATAAACAGCGGAAAGAACGGGAGATATGAGTAGACACGGAAAAACACGGCAGCCTGTTCTTTCAATAAGCCTTCAATTGATTGCCAGCGCTCGTCTTGCGCCTCTGGCTGAACTTAGAAGTGTGGCAGTTTGGGCTAGTTGGTATGACATGACGATAGTTATAGCACGAGAACAGAACAACGACTGTCTCTTTGTCGGCATTCTTTTCTCGCGCTATAAGTATCGTCTTGCTGAACGTTACAAAGATGCGCTTATCTCGCCGTCATGCTCGCGTACTATTGTGGAGGTCTACTCCGACTACGAGTGGCGCTGCTTCCCTCGGCGACCGTCCGCGCAAGTTTGCGCCACAAATTTATCGCACACTTTTGTCATCATCAGTTGGCGTGAGAAAACATTTCATGTGTTTTGACAAACAGGTTGGTCCATGAATCGAACACTTTACCGCCTTCACATGAAACCCTCACTAAAGGCGGTGATGGTGCCCTTCCTTTCGAGTGCATGAAATAAACAGCGTTGCAGCGACAAGGTGGTACTTACTACTGCGGCGGTGGTAAGCACGCACGCTGCAGTGTATGTCCGGGTGACGACAGGGACTTGCATGAATTCTTGCGTTAACATACGCAGAGCCATCACGTCAAGCTCAGTGCTCGAGGTAAGTGCGCACACATCAGTAGGCTACAACGGATCGGTTAGTGGTGCCATTCCGGTCTAATCCACGTGTAACTCGCTGCTGCAAAGGCGAGACCGCCGACATCACACAGAACAAGAGCAGCAAGCAACGGTATAGTGGCTAGAAAGATGCTGCAAGCTGGATGTGAGCCAGTCGTCAGCCAACAAAATCCATTTTAGTGAAACCGAAACTTATGAAGCTTAAACTCAGGCGAGTAGGTAGATGCTCAACCGAAAAAAAAACACACACAAAAAAACGAGGACACAAAAACAAACTACAATGTAGGAGCGCTGAACTTACAACTTACATTTATATTGCACCGACCGGTCGTTTTACAGCGCACCAAAGCGCGCACTTCATTCCAATCAAACCACATATTGTCAATCAAAGCTGTGCCATCACCGTGTGCACATATCTTCCGCACACAAACAAAAGAACACAACTGAAAAAGATATAACCAACCCTTAACAAGTACTAACAAGCAACAGAAAAAACACCGACAATCCATTTTCGAGGCGCAGGTACAATTACAATGGCTATAGAATAGAAAAGTGTGATGAGCAGCAAGCGGCACCTACGGAGCGCACTGAAGCCTCCAAAAAGAAGCCGCATGGAGGCGCGAAAAGCCGTTTACACGTTAAAAATTAAGCAACCTGGAATAGGTAGGCTTGCTTTAGGAGCTCACGGGAATACACCAAATCAGGGAGTACGAGGTGATATGGGATAGACATAATTTGAGGGCAGGAAAGCTAGCAGCAAGATAAAACTTGAGAAGCAATTGAGAGAAATGGGGGAGGAGCGTTGGGCTAGGAAGATTTTCAGCTACTTGTACATGAAGAATGTCAATACAAAATGGAGGAAGCGAACCAGGAAATTGACTGGTAAATACTTAGAAAACAGCAGGGGGTCAAACCAAAAAGAACTATTGGTTAAGAAGAAAGTGAAAGGAACGGAGACTGAGACTGACACGTGGAGAATTGGCATGATTAACAAGTCCGCACTAGAGATCTATCGAACGTTTAAGCAGGAAATTGCCAAGGAAAGGATCTATTATAATACCCGGGGTATTTCTCTACTGTTTGAGGCCAGGACGGGAGTATTGCGAACCAAGACATATCGGGCCAAATACGAAGGGGTAAACACGGTATGCAGTGCATGTGAAGTGGAGGAGGAAACGGCAGAACACTTGTAATTGTTCCGGAAAGGGCTTCACCCTATAGTTCAGAATGATAGCACAGAGTTTGTCAAAGCACTGGGGTTTAGTGATAGGGAGGGCAAAATAGGCTTTAAGCAGATAGAATTAACTAGAAGAAGGTTGTCTGATTGGTGGCTGAAGTCAAGGCACGAGTGAAAATTAAATTCTTCACTGCAAAGTACCAGTCCTCATTTTACTATTTAAAAGAACAAAAAGATAAATCTAGTGGTTAGTTCCCTAAATATTATAGCAAGGTGGCGTTAGTCGCCGTCAGATCTAAAGGGTAGAGCCACATCCATCCATTCATTCATACGTTGTTTGCACGTTCCCGACAGTTTCGTCGGGCGCGTTCGTCCTCGTTTTTTTTTTTTTTTTTTTGAATTGCGGTGGCACTCTGACACCTACGCTTCTGTATGCACTCTCATGCAAGTAAACAAAGTCACTGCTTCGTCCCGGGGTTCACTACAGGCTACAAGTCAGCTAAAGAGAAGCATGAGTTGTTCGGCGTTCCAAAGGACGAAGCTCTGTTAGCGCAGTGGCGGAGAGCTTCAGTGACAGCTTGGCAAAGCTTCTTTTCTGCTTAGTAAAAAAAAAAGTGTCATACTGCGCTTGACAGTGACAGCTTGGAAAAGCTTGTTTTCTGCTTACTAAAAAAATGTTACACTGCGCTGTGCACAACATGGTCCGAGCCTCACCAATCAAGTGACCAAGTTTTTTTTATGCTCACCCATTTGCCTATTTACGCAAAGGTACTCCACAAGGAGCAAGCATCTTCCCGTAAAAAGAGGAAGTACCTGAAGCTCAAGCGCATCACCAGGCTTGCAGCCCAATGTTCTGTGTGGCGCTTGTGAATTATGATGATGATGATGAACAAACATTATTTAATTAACAGAAAGGTCCTCTTCCTCTTTCAGGTGCGAGAGGAGAAGGGAGGACCAAACCTAGATGACGGCCATAATACCATGGGCCCTGGCAGCGTCTTCGGCCTGCCGTATTAAGCGGGCTTGTAATTGAGAGTCAGAGCTGAGGAGCGCGGCATCCCATCCACTCCCGTCTGGAAATTTGCCTCTCATGGGGGCCTGCGGGCATGCCCATAAAATGTGGCTCAAGTCCGCCTTGTTGTGGCAAAATTTACACTTGTCCGAATGAAGTTCCGGCACGCAGCGGTTCATTGTTACCGGACTAGGAAACATGTGGGTCATGAGTAGGCACCACGCCACCGCCTGTCCTTTGTTCAATGGCGAGTGTGCGGGAGGATAAATTTAACTGCTTAGCCTGTAATACTGCGTAATATCTCTGTAAGTGGTCATCCGCTCAAATCTCTCATCGTCCTCCCCGTTCGACCAGGGCAATCCAGAGGCTCGGTCTGTAAGTCCTCGAGCTGTCTGGTGTGCAGCCTCATTGCCGGGCAAGGAGGAGTGAGCGGGTGCCCAAACTATTTCTATTGTTCGTTGGTCTTTGCATCCAACCAATATTCTTAAAGCTATTTGGGATATTCGCCCTCGTGCAACGTTTCTCACAGCCGTCTGCGAGTTGCTAACAACGAGTGAAGTCGAGGTGGATGCTATGGCCATTGCAATAGCTGCTTCCTCCGCCTCTTCTGCAAAGCTCGTTCTCACCGAGCCGCTGACCTTATGATTTCCTTTGTAGTCCACTACTGCTATAGTCATGTTGTCATTTCCTTTGTATTTGGCCGCGTCTACGTATGTTGTTTCCGGTAAATCTTTTACGTTGTTATGTATATTTTTCGCTCTTTCAGCTCTCCTTCCTTTGTGATGTTCGGGGTGCATGTTTTTTGGAATCGGTAAGATTACTAAACATTTCCTGATTTCATACGGGATATCCTTTTTGGCGCCAAATTGATTTGCGTAGTTTATACCCAGTTCCTCTAGTATAGCTCTACCTGTTTTACTCTGCGTTAGTCTTTCATATTGTGCGATTCTTTGAGCTTCTATAAGCTCTTCTGATGTGTTGCGAAGCCCTAATTGAAGTAATTTATCATTAGAGGTAGTAATTGGAAGTCCGATCGCCTGTTTGAAAACTCGTCTAATGATTCTGTCAATCTTTTCTCTCTCGGCCACTTGCAGTCTGAGGTACGGAATCACATATACAATACGACTGATGACAAAAGCCTGTACCAGTCTTATCATATTATTTTCCTTCATACCATAGTGCCGGTTTGCAATTCGTTTAAGTAGACGCATAGTTTGCTGCGCACTGGTTTCAAGTATTCTAATCGCCTCTCCGTTGTGCCCGTTTGAGCTGATTCGGAGTCCCAGAATTCTTATGCTTTCGACCGTAGGTATTTGCGTTTTTCCAACAAAGACTTTAATGTTAGGTTTTTCCTGGATGCTTTTCCGACCCCTACATGTCGGGTTATAGAAGAAAAGTTCCGATTTTTCTGGTGAACATTGTAATCCTGCATGGATGGCATATTCTTCTACAACATTCACTGCTGTTTGTAAAGTTTCCTCCATGTATCCGTCACTACCCTCTGCTACCCATAAGGCAATGTCATCTGCATAGAGGCTATGGTGGAGTCCTGGAATTTTCTTCAGTCTGGTAGGGAGACCTATCATGGCCACGTTAAAAAGAAAGGGGGATAGGACTGAGCCTTGCGGCATACTTCTGCTGCCCAGACTAAACTCTTGGGATTCTGCTTCGCCTAGTATTATTCTTGCAGTCCGGTCAGTTAAAAAGTCTTTTATATAATCGTATACTGTTTTTCGTACCCCTAACGCTTGAAGATTGGCAAGTATAGCTTTATGTGATGTATTATCGAATGTCTTTTTAAGATCTAGCCCTACTATTACCTTTGTGTCGTGTGTATTGAGATCCGAATCAATTATTTGGTGTTTAATCTTAAGCATAATGCCCTGTGTAGACAGCTTCGCTCTGCAGCCTACCATCGTATGAGGAAAGAGCTCATTGTCTTCCATATAATTTGACAGGCGAGTTAGGATTACATGCTCTAATATCTTTCCTATGCAGGATGTCAGGGAAATAGGCCTAAGATTATCAAGATCTAGTTTCTTGCCTGGCTTGGGAATCATTATGATTGTTGCCGTTTTCTATTGCTTGGGTATCTTACCTTTTTCCCAACACTTGTTCATATATTCGGTGAGGGCTGTGATAGATTTGTCGTTTAAGTTTCAGAGCGTTTTATTCGTGATCCCATCGGGGCCCGGGGCTGATGCTGTGCTCAGTTTCATTAGTTCCGATCGTACCTCGGCCTCTAATATGGGTCGGTCTAGGGAATCATTTTCCTTACCTTTGTACGAGCTTAATTGCTCTTTGGTTGTATCCCCAATCTATCTCTGTCTGATTTCTTCAATGAGTTCTTCCGTGCCTTTGTATTTACGGACAAGTCTAATAAAGTTTTGTTGTTGTGCTGTCTTGCTCGCTTCCGAGTCTATCAGACATCTTAACAGGTTCCATGTTTTAGAGAGACTTATTTGTTTTTCCATCGCATCATACTTTTCCTCCCATTGTTGTCTGCATAGTTGCTCCGCGTACTTCTCAATATCTTTACTGAGGGTGGCTATCCTTTTTCTAAGGCGTTTGTTGTGTTTTTGTGTTTTCCACCGTTTTTCTAGGCTCTTTTTTGCCTCCCACATATGTAGGAGCTTACTGTCTGTGCTTTCTAGTCCTTTTGTTTTTAGTACGGTCTTAGTTGCGATTTGAAAATTTTGCTTAAGGTTCCCTAGCCATTCATCTAAGTCTTCGATGACATCGCATGCTTCCTTCTCTCTGATTTTTCTAAAGCTATACCATTCAACCATCCTTCATTCTTTGCCTCCTGTTTTACGTGGACCTGCTTTAAACGTGGTCTCAATAATATAGTGGTCACTGCCTATATTTTCTTGTGTATTAAGCCAATAAGGTTCGATGATATTCTTAGTAAACGTGAGGTCAGGAGACGTGTCTT